GCAGGTCACGTGACCTGTCGGTGGCGGCTCCTGCCAGCCAGTTGAAGATTGAACCCCTACTGCAGGGAAGCACCCTTGACAGATGGCCAGTAATGGTGTGGATTCAGTGTTGCCAGATTGGAAATGTCCAAGTATCATACCAGAAGCTCAAAATTATCATATTTGGAAGAAAATGATCGTACATGAGACAAACGTGCAGAATACAGCTATTTATCTAGACCAACAACTTTTTTACACAACCTGCAAATTACCACAATAGATAAAAAACTAGATAAATAACTCCACCTGTGAGTCTGTCATTGGAAGCCTGTGTGTTGCCAGATTTTGAGGGGGTTCTTGCCGTCAAGATCCATGAAAAAAAAATGACCTAATGGTTAGAGAGTAGGACTCGTAACCCAAAGGTTGTGGGACCACATGTCACGTCACTCACTTCAAAAATTCAGAAATTATCGTACGTTATGGGATTTTTTACATTATTGATCATACATCGTACAGAGGTCAAAATTATCGTACAAATATGATAACTATCATACGTCTGGCAACACTGGTGTGGATGCTGGGTCAAATGCTTTATGTAACAGACCTGTTCAATACACGTGAATTCTGAGTGTTTCCATTTGTTTTAAGCTTCTTCTTTTTTTAATTCCCCAGGTGTCACGTGCCGATATCAGAGCGCCCGTTGTTGGGTATGGCCACTGCAAGTGGAGAAATTCAGTTGTACAAGCTTATGGAATCTCAGGTGACAAATCACTCTCATGCTGCATGAGGAATTGCACATTCAAGGACTGTTCTAGATGTAATAAAAGTTATCTCTATTGACACCAATTATTATTTCAGCTTATAATAATTAAAGAATGCCACTGCAATTATGTTGGAAATGTATAACCTGAACTCCTGAATGTATAACCTAACTCTTTTAATAAATATCAAGCAATATTTTAAAAAGTTAAGGGGGAAAAAAAGAAATATTATTTTTTAAAGCATTTTTAATTAAGCTAGATACTTAAAATTTATATTTAAATTATTAATAATTAAAATAGTAATTATATTATTTATATTGCATTATATGAATTATTATTGTAAAGGAATAGTTCACTCAAAAATAAAAATTCTGTCATCATTTACTCACCCTCAAAGTTGTTCCAAACCTGTATGAATTTCTTTCTTTTGCTGAACACAAAAAGAAAATATTTTAAATATAT